AAACGTTGAAAATCTTTTAATGACGTTTATAAATACCACTAAATGTTGAAAAAACACCACTAAAGACCTAAACCATTGTAGTGTTGCTAATGGGGTTAATTAATTTATAATTTTCCTTTAGTTATTTAGTTGTACTTTATTTTTATTGTTTGATTAAATATTGAGGGTTGAAGTTGAATTACAAATGGAGGTTGCTATGGTTAAGGGAAACAAGGTTGGACGAGAGTTAAAAAGGGTGTCATATTGAATTTGAAAACAAAAAGAAAATGTCGTCAAAGAAAAAAATAAAATAAAATAAAATTTAAAGTAATTAAATGTCAAATTTTAAATACTACAAATCATTTTAAAAACGCTTCAAATCATATAATATATATTTATAATTATAGTATTTTTTTTCTTTTTCTTTTTTTAATTTTAATTTTTTTATAATTTACAACAAAGTGAAAAATTATACATTTAATCAAGTGATTAATAAACTATGTTACGCTCATAACATGATAAAAATAAAAATTTAATATAATAATATATAAAATATTATATCTATCTTTTAATTTTAATATTTTTGTAATATTTGTGCCTGTTATACTTTTATTATTTTATTAAAATAATTATAAATATATTTAAAACAATGAAAAATATTGACAAAGAGCAATTCACCCCAACGTAATGCGCTTTACGGAAGAGCTTGTGTTTCATTTTGTTATTTAAGGCTGAGTTTGGACAAATTGACGTTTGAATTGTCGGTTAGGTTGAGTATGGACTAGCAAGTTAATATGATTTCAAAGCTCAACGTTCGACTCGATTTATATATAAGTTTAGAGCGTTATATTTTACTTATTTAGACTCAAAAGAAAATATAATATCAAATTTGTATCCATTGAAAGATAAATAGTAAAAAATAGTTAAATATTTAACCTAAAATTTAATATTTGAGTGTCTTTTTAATTAAAATTATCATTTTTTAATTTGATTCAATTAAATATTAAACATTTTTAAATTAACTCAAATCATTATTTTCAACGGGGAGTGACTTACACGTAATTTACAACGGAGTGATACGAGTAGAGGAAAAAAAGGTGAAATTGTATTTTTAAGTGTTTAAGTAGAATCAGAATATAAAAAGCAATTGAAGGAGATTGGAGAAAAGTTCAATTTCTCAATCATCATCGCCGAAATGATGCGTTCGCTACCAGTGAAGCTCGCGAACCTTTCTATCTCCACTCTTAGGCTCTGAAGGCGGGCTCTCTTCCTGCATCTACGATCGACGAGGAGACCAATCGCCAAGAGCTCTGCCTAGTTTCCTACTGGCGCATCGATTTTAAAATTTTAATATTTTTACCTCTTCTGTTTGGTTGCCTAGAAAAACAAGGGAGAGAAGGGAACTGTGAAGTGTATTTTGAATTTGAAAAGTTAATAATTTAACTGAATAAAAAATTATGCTTTTTCTTGTTTTTCGCTTCTCAAATGATTTGAAAGTTTTTTTCTTTATTCCTTTTTTATTTTAAATAAGTAAAAAAAAAAATTTATCTTGTTAAAGTCACTTGCATGATTCGGTTTATCACTTTCATTAAAAAAGTGATTCATTATATATATATATATATATATATTTTGCAATTACAAGCTTTCTTTCCCTTTTTAATTTCAAGTGGTGGAAGGAGGCTCAAGGAAGTGTTGCTAATCAAATAGAAGGCATTTTGTACATTGTGTTATCCAAGGATGATGATGCTGATTCTGAAATGGTACTGGACTTGAGGAAGGATGGGAGTTCTGGGGGTTGGGATAAGGCAGAAGAACTGGTTTCTGGCCATGAATATGCCTGGGTTAATGAAGCATATTGTGGCGGTAAAAGTGCTACATTATATGGCGAGAGATTTAGTTTTGGCTTGTTTGATATTTTATTAGTCTTTATTGTTCCATAGTTAACCCTTCCCGGCTACAAAGAAAGAACAGACAGAAGCATTTTTCACTGATAAAAATGGAGAACTTTTGGTGTTAACGGTTTATGGAGTTAAGGGCGTGCAACTCACTACCGTTAAAAATATTTTTTTGATTACTTGTAAACGTTTAATCTTTAATTGAATCATGATCATTTTAATTGAAAAAATGTCCGAATATTATATCTTAAATTAAGCATTTAACAAAAAAAAAATTGTATTGACCCTACCAATCATAAAATTGGTATTCATAAAACTTCTTTCAGACTGAAATATTTCTCACCTGCTTTTATATTTCATTCGTGTTTAATTCTATCTGTCTAGAAGTGATAATTGGGTGGATGAGTTGGGTTAAATCAATTTGGATTATTGAAAATTGGATGGATGAGTTGGGTTAAATTAATTTGGGTCATTCTAAGTTTGGATGTTTTGATTTTTGACATTGAAATTATTTAGATTTGATCATTTCAAATTTAAATTATTGAATTCGAAAATTAAATTAATTTATTATGAATTATTTCAAATTTAGATTCTTTAGGGGATGGATTAAATTAAACTTATTTTTCTAAGTTGGAGGAGTTAACTTTGTGAGCTCTACAATCGTCATATCCAATATAAGAGTAATTTAGGTTTGTGTTTGACCGTAAAGAATTTTGGATTATCCTTAGGGGACGTTTGGTTTGAAGAAATTCATACATTTTTTTTTTAAATCTTACTATTAAGTATTTGATTCTAACGTTTAATTCAGAGTAATTTAATTTTAAAAAAAACTAATAGATTTCTAACAATACTCAAAGTCCCAAAATAAAAAATTCATCTCTCCCTGTGATATTCTAAGATTCCAAGAGAAAAAGTAGTGTTATTTTCAAATTTGACTTGACTAAAAAAATTACGAAATAGCCGTTACTATTTTGAAAAGTTTTTTTGAAAATGAATGTAAGTTAATTGTAGATTTCTACTGATAAAAAATTTGGTTTATATATGACGCTTGACATGAAAAACGTTTTCAATAATCTTTTACAAAAAATTGAATAGGGTAATTCATTATGTTTTTGACAAAATATGCCATGAATAATCCTAAAAAATTTTATGAAAGCATTTTTGACCAAAAATGCCTTGAACAACCTTTATTCAATTTTATGGAGAGGATTATTTAAGGCCTTTTTGGCAAAAAAACGCTTTGAATAATTCACTACAATTTTTTTTAGTCAAAAATATCTTGAATAATAAATTGAATGGGGTTATTCAAGGCATTTCTGACTAAAACTGCATTCAATAATCCCTTTAAATTTTTGCAAAGTGATTATTTAAAGCGTTTTTAGATAATCCCCTTCAATTTTTATGAGTTAATTATTCAAGGTGTTTTTGGCCAAAAACTCTTTTAATAATCCCTTTCAATTTTTTATTAAGAATTATTCAAAGTGTTGTTGCTTATAAAATGCATTGAATAATCTTTTACAAAAAATTGAATAAGGTTATTCAATGTATTTTTGGCTAAAAACACCTTTAATAACCCCATTCAATTATGAATTATTTAAAGCATTTTTAGCCAAATATGCCTTAAATAATCTTCTAGTAAAAAAATTGAAAAGGATTATTCAAGACATTTTTAGCTAGAAAAGTCTTAAATAACTCAATTTAATTTTTTTATAAGAGATTATTCAAGGTATTTTCTGATAAAAAATGCCTTAAATAATCCCCAAAAAATGAGAGGGGATTATTTAAGGCATTTTTTTGCCAAAAATGTATCGAATAATCCCATTCAATTTTGACCAAAAATACCTTAAATAATCCACTTATAAAAATTGAAAGGGATTATTTAAGGCTTTTTTTAGCTAAAAATACATTTAATATTCCGATTCAATTTTTTGTAATAGATTATTCAAGGTATTTTCTAGGCAAAAGCACCTTAAATAATCTCATCATAAAAATTTGAAAGATTATTAAGGCATTTTTTGCCAGAAACGCCTTGAATAATCCCTTTATAAAAATTGAAAGAGATTATTTAAGGCATTTTTTACTAGAAACTCCTTGACTAACCCTATTCAATTTTTTCTAATGAATTATTTAAGGCATTTTCCAAAAAAAAAAAAATGAGAGGGGATTATTCAAGGTATTTTTTGGGCAAAAATGCCTTGAATAATCCAAAAAATAAATTTTTGAGGAGATTATTCAAAGCGTTTTTGGCTAAAAATGTTTTGAATCATTCACTCATAAAAATTGAAAGGGATTATTCAAGGTATTTTTTGTTAGAAATGCCTTAATTAACCATATTTAATTTTTTCTAAAAGATTATTCAATGTGTTTTTTTCCAAAAAAATGGGAGGAAATTATTCAAAGTGTTTTTTTGGCAAAAATGCCTTAAATAATCTCTAAAAAATTTTTGTAAGAGATTATTTAAGGTGTTTTTTGGCCAAAAACGCTTTCAATAATAAAAAAAATAAAAATAAAAAGGGATTATTGAATGTGTTTTTGGTAGAAAACACTTTGAATAATCTCTTTTTAAAATTGGAGATTATTTAAGGTATTTTTGGCAAAAAATACTTTCAATAATCCTCCCATAAAAATTTAAGGGGATTATTCAAAATGTTTTTAGCAATAAATGCCTTGAATAACTCGATTCAATTTTTTTGTAAGGATTATTCAAGGCGTTTTCTGACTAAAAATGCTTTGAATAATCTACTTCTATTAAAAATTAGATTATTTGAGTTACCATCTATATGCCAAGGAAATTATAATAATTATTTAAGATTTAATATATATGGATTCCTCTTAATCAAACGAGTGAATCTAAACACAAGGTGCTTTGAAAATGAAAAAAAATCTTGGATATCACATTTTTTCAAATATTACACTTTCTTCATAAATCTACAATTCCACAAACCAAATACCTCCTTAAACTTTTCCTCTATCTTACTTTTTCAAAGGGTGTGGGGCAGCACCGGACGGAGTATGGGGCAGCAATCAAATATTAAGGTCGCAAATAGATTAGGAAGTACCATTCTTGAATCATATTCCCCACATGCTCAAAATAACAAAGACAAAAAAGACAACGTCTTTCAATATCTAAGACAAATAAAATCTTATGGGGTGGATCTCAAAACCGTAATGACCACCCACTATTTATCCTCCCAACTGCAACCACGATCTTTTAAACCGCCAGCCCTTTGCACTTGGCAACAGCCCAATTCCACGGCATTATACTATTGTCCTTGTTGATTCCTTTCATGGAAACCACCCAAGAACCAGAACCATCATGGGAGGAACTCATTGGAAGCAACAACTGGGAATCTCTTCTTGATCCTCTCAACCTCTCTCTGCGCAAGCTCCTCCTCCGCTGTGGTGACTTCTGCCAAGCCACCTACGATTCTTTCAATAACGACCAAAACTCCAAGTACTGCGGCAGTAGCCGCTATGGCAAGTCCACTTTATTCGGAAAGGTCATGCTTGAATCTGCTTCTGATTACGTAATAACTACTTTCCTTTATGCCACTGCTCGCCTTAGCCTCCCTGAAGCCTTCCTTCTCCATTCTCTGTCCCGGGAGTCTTGGGACCGCGAGTCCAACTGGATTGGCTACATTGCCATAACGACAGATGAAAGAAGCAAAGCTTTATGCCGACGTGAGATCTACGTTGTGTGGCGTGGGACTATGAGAGACTACGAGTGGGTTAATGTTCTTAAAGGAAAGTCTGAGTCTGCTGAATGCTTGTTGAATGAGAAGTTTGAAGGTAAAGCAATGATGAAAGCGAGCATGAGCAGACCCCTCATGTGATGTTTGGGTGGCTTACGCTTTACACCTCAGATGATCCAAAATCAGCCTTTACAAAGTTAAGCGCTAGGAAGCAACTTTTAGGAAAGATTATGGAGTTGAGAGAGAAATATAAAGATGAAAATCCAACTATAGTATTCACGGGGCACAGTTTGGGGGCTAGCTTAGCAGTCTTAAGTGCTTTCGATACGGTGGAGAATTGTATCCATGATATTCCAGTGACGGCTTTCGTGTTTGGTTGCCCACAAGTTGGAGACAAGGCTTTCAATGAAAGGCTGAAAAAGCATTCAAATCTGAAGATTTTGCACACCAAGAACACCATTGATATAATCCCTCGCTATCCAGGCGAATTACTGGGATATGTCAAGACGGGAACCGAGCTTGTAATTGACACAAGGAAATCACCGAGCTTGAAGGACTCCAATAACACCGGGGACTGGCATAATTTGCAGGGTATGTTGCATATAGTGGCGGGTTGGAATGGAAAAGACGGAGAGTTTGAGCTGAAAGTGAAGAGAAGTTTGGCTTTGGTGAATAAGTCTTGCGCGTTTCTGAAAGATGAGTTGTTGGTGCCAGGATCCTGGTGGGTAGAGAAGAACAAAGGACTCGTTAGAACTGAGGATGGAGAGTGGATAATGACTCCCCCAGATGATTTGCTTGTCCCCGAAATTTGACTGTGACAAGGCCATTATCAAGAATCAACAGTAATAGCAGCTGTTATTGTTTATGTATAAGTGTTAGTTTCTTTAGGTAGAATAAAAGTTGGTGATTGTATTGTACTTAGCAGATATTTCTTTCATCCACATTAAAATATGTGAAAATAGGTAACTGCGTTTAATGTACCTATAGCATCCACCAGTATTATTATAGTAATTATGATCTACTATATGGTTGTAAACTTTCAATTAGATTAAACGGTAAATTACATAAATATACCTTGAGTTTTAATGCAATTTGAGTTTGGCCTCGAAGTTTAAAAAGTGATACTTAATCACCCTAAGATCTGTATCCATAACATTCCATTAGTTTTCTTTAACGTCGTTAATGTCTAATCAATAAACCCTAACTCTTTTTCCAAATTTTTTTTTGTTTGCTATTTCTCATATTCAAAGAAAAATTGGGTTGAAAGCATGAATTTTTCACAATTTTCAACAAGTGGGGATCAAATGGTGGAAAAATATGCTATTGTGATGTGGAATCACCTGTAAGAATATTTGGAACAAGGAACAACCATGGATGAAAATTTTATGGGTGTGGCAAATTTAAGGTGAGATGTACTTCATTTAATCTTAAAATAACTTGCAGGATAATTGAAATAACAAATTTAATCTTACATTTCTTGTTAAAGAAGTTGAAAATGTGATTTTTTCCAACGAGTGGATAAAATGTTATGTGATTTTTACAAAAAAGAGATAGTTAAATTGGAAGAAACAATCAAGAAAATGAAATACGAGATATCCATGTCAAATTCAAAGAAGCAAGAATTAGTTGAAGAATTGATTTTAGTTTCAGCAAAAAAGATGAGTTTGTAAGAAGAATTAGTAGAAGTAGAAAAAAGAGAGCTGAAATTGTAGGAAGAACTTGCTAACACTCAGAATAGAGGAAAAAATGGGGTGTTTTTGTTCTGGTTTTGCTTATTGTAATTTTGTATGATCACTTTAATCCAAGAAGTTGTAGAAGCCAATTTTTGGAATTAAAGAATTGAAATTTTAGTGTTTATGTTAGTAGGAAGGAGTTAATGCTTTATATGTACCAAGTGTTTCTGAAAATGATCCAATGAACTCTGTGATTAATATATATAGTTTTCTTCTATTGTAGCTATGTTGAATCATTTTTTTCTATAGTAGCTGTGTTATTTGATTTATAACATAACTAGTAAACCTATAAAAGGTCACATTTCTATCAACTACCACATTTCTTAAAACCTAATACCCACATTTGCAAACAATCGTATTTCCATCATTAACATTGTTTGATTAAGAAACATAGCAATGAACATAAAGGCTTTCAATTCATATTCATATGAGAAACAAATTGTGCTTTAACATATGTGAAACTTGTAACGGTAATGGCTATAAATAAAAAAGGATTATACCCTAAAATGGTTCATTCACATTTAATCCAAAAAGAACTATACCATATTCACCTAAAAAAAATTATACCAATAGTAGGCTTCCATTCAAAAATACATATACCTTAAACTAATTCCTAACTTCCACCCAACAAGAACTATACATAAACATACATCACTAGAATAGCATATACGAACCATTCTCAGATTGCACCCAAACTCTTTGGCTACTACTTGTTCGACTATCAACTTTTTGGTTGCTAGTTTTTTTATTTCTGCTAGCAGTGTGATTGTTAACTGCTTGGCTACTAGATGTATGGTTACCACCAATAATAGGCTTTCCCCTTTCTCTAATTAGTGTAACTTTTGACTTAAAAGGTCATTTTCCTTTTTTTCTAGTAACATTTATAGTAGCTCTTCCCATTGGAATTGTACCAAGATTTACAGTTGCAGCAGTAGCTGGAACTTGACATTTGCAATATCTCTTCCTCTTATACCAACATTGCCATCGTTGCTTGTAGTTCTTCCTTTTATAGCAACATTAGCAGTATCTATTCCTTTTATACCAACATTGTTATCATTTCTTCCTCTACCAACATAAAAAAAGCATTTCTTTGGATCTGCATCTTTTTGGATCTATCTTTACCAATAGCTTTTCCTCCTGAAGTTATCCTTGAAGAAGATGCAAAATTTTGGGCAACCTATCAAAATAACCACATAATAAAAATAAAATAAACAACAAGATAAACAATCTAATAAACAAAAATAACAAAAATAAAAATTATAACTGACACTTTAATAAACAATCTAATAATAAGCTGATAGCAAAAACTTTGATAGCAGAAACAATTAGATATACAAAAATAGTAGAAACAACCTTAACCTTACATTGACATTTTGATATAATCTGATACAATCAAATAAACAAATACAACGTGAAATAAAAAATAGTAGGCTAATAAAATAGCATGAAAATAAAAATAGCATGAAAACAAAAACAGTATGAAAAATAGCATGAAACAATCTGATAAACAAAATAGCAGAAATAGCCTCAACCTTACATAGCAGAAATAGCAAAAACTATTACTTGAGTATGGGTCTTTAACCCCTTTAACCTTATCCTTCTTTGCCATGGAGTCACTCCTACAACTGATGCCTTGCAACATCTCACATTATGTCCTTTTTTACCACAGTTTCCACATCTTATTGGTTTATTCCTCTTAGACAATTTGTAAGGATTTTAAGGTTCATCAACTACTCTCCTTCTTCTACCTAGTGGCTTATAAATGATTAGAGACACTAAAGGATGATTATTTTGTAACCCATTCATATTGTCCTAGAATAGGGTTAATTATGCTATCATATGTCTTTATGTAGGTCTTTTTAGAGTAGCAAGAATAGACATAACTTTTTAGTTTCTCTCTTTTCTTGAAAATAGCTAAAACAACATGCTTACAAGGGATTCCAATCAAATCCCAATACATGCAAGTACAACTCTATTATGCCAAGTTCACAACATAGCTAGTTGTACCACATTCAACTTCATAAATATACCTATTAATTGGAACTAAAAAATAGTTGAATGAATCTTTTTTATTCTTTCCAATTTATCCTAAACATCAAGACAAATAGGGCTTTTGTGTGACTCCATTCCAACTTTTTTAGCATGAAACCTCTTCATTAATCTTTTCCTAATCCATTCTAACATGTTCAATATAGGTAAATACCTAGCTTGTAAAGTGTAAACATTAAATGACTCACTAAGATTATTAACCAACAAATCACTCTTAGTTTTTATGCTAAAATAAGACCTTGCTTACTTAGATGGATTTAATTTACTTACCCAAGTATAGGCTTGGCCTGTTTTGTCAAGTCCTTTAAGATGCAACATGGTTTTTTCCCATTTTTGATTGACCCAACATATGCAACTTTCCATAAAACTTGTTTACACTTTTCCCCTTTGAACTATCCTTTGAAATTTGTGTCTAAGTGTCTTAAACAGAACCTATGCTCAACTTTCATGGTATACTTATTGAAATGTTTGCTTGAATCCCTACCAAATAAAAAAAAGAACAAAATATATATTATTAGAAATCAAAATATAAAGGATATTAGATAAACAGAGTACCAATAAGAAATTTCATACCTTCTGTTGATCAGATATGAATTCTAATTTCAGTTCATGAAAATTGCCAACTTTTTCATGTAATAGATTAAGAAACCAAGGCTAGGTTTCTTTATTCTCTTATTCAACTATTGCATAACAAAGTGAGAAAAAGTTTTCATTCCCATCTAGAACGATAGCACTGAGTAATTGTCTTCTAAAATGGCATTTCAAGTGACAGTCATCTAACCCTATCAGCCTTCTACATCCATTAATGAATCCCTTAATTTATGCATCAAACATAATGAAAATCCTTTCAAATTTAGGAACAAAATCTCTAGAAACACCAATTTCATCATCAAAATTTTGAGATTCCAATTTCATTAATGCAAAGCTCCTTGGATTTGTTTGTTAAATCATGTCACAATAATCCTATAATTTGGCATACGGCAACTTCACATTCCCTTCATCATTTCTCTGGCTTTTTTTTTTAGCTTTATACACTTGAAAGATAAATACATAAACTTTTAGCTCTCTAGACATTTTTCTCCTAATCTTTTCAGTTTCCTAAATAGGATTATTTTTCAAGTCATCAGAGAATTTTTTAGCCAAATAAGGTCTAGTAACCTAGTTAATCTTGAACTCCCTCGAACAACTATGCTTTGGATTAAAAGTTTTGATTTGAAAACTTCGATCCTTCCTCATTTTAGAAGCATATATCCTCCATCCATAGTCTTTAACACATGATGCACTAATCTTCTCCCTTTCATTTCTTTTGAACTTATAGTCAAAGCTTCTACTCACACAATACTCCTTTAATGCCCTTCTATAAACAAAGACACTAATAAACTTCATTCTAACTTTTAACTTTAGATTTTTTATAACAACATCTTTATTAAACACAATATATTGCTCTCTCTCATCCTAAGATCCATGAAGATTATGTAAATCACCATCCTTTACCACATTATCCCTAAACTTTTCCTTTACATCATTACTTTGAACCACTGAATTTAGATTAGGTTATTTAATATTAGCTTTCTCTCTTTCCCTTTGGTTAAAACCATCAATAGCTTTTCATCCTAAAAAATATCATGAGATTTTGAAAATCTTTCATTCAACCATCTAGGGTAACTGTTACAATAACCATCACTATCTACCTGATAGTGACTATCATCACTATGCGCTAACCTCATCACTACCTCTACTAACATCATCTTCCTTATTTGCATTTCTAACTTTCTTATTAACATTTCCAACTTCATCACTTTCATCTAAATTAACAATACTAGGTTGACCCTTTTCTACCTCTTTTTCATTCACACCTAGTGTACATGGATAAACAATAGACAAAAGAGGTTCACCAACCACAACATAAGTTGGGATTGTTTTTTTGTCCTTATGATTATGAATCATAGCTTCAACATCTTTATTTGAATGATTTCTTTTAATCTATCATCCAAAAATAACTAAGGAACACAGTAATGCATTTCACTAGTGGACTCATAGCCTAATGTTATAACCTACTCTTGCACTTGAAAAAATGATAATCTGTCTAACGAAAAATTATCAACCCATGCAACATCCTTTCCTACCTAGACCTTGTAAAGAATAAGGATGAATAACCCACCATGATAAAATTCAAGTGTTTTATTCCAATTCTACATCTATAAAAACAAATTTATAATTTTATTTTAGAAATGCATATTTAAACATTATAGGTAGTAAAGAATTA